TTGACCATAATAAATATATGATTTATATTAATGTGGCTAGCCTAGTAACGCCATCTATTAATGCACTTAAGAACTAAATATCGATCATTACAACATGATTGTAATCTATTCTTCTGTATCTAGACAGACATATAATAAAACGGTAGAAGTGTATATTCTGTACATTAAAATATTAAAAATTATTAATAGTAGCGGTGTTACTAGTTAGACACTGATCCAAAAATTTAAATAAAAAGAATTCTGTTTGTCTGTATGTTCACTCATCACGCAAAAACGGGGCCGGCAAGCAAACGGTTGAAATCAGTTTGAACCGATGTTATAAATGGGAAACTGGGGGTTTTGTGTGTCAGTCACATCAAAACGGCTGAAGGGACCAGGATGTTTGAAACAGAGGTAGGGTCTGAAGTAAAAGTAATACATAGGCTACTTTTTACTCCTGGGAAGGCGGGCAAAGCCGCTGGCAGAAGCTAGTAAGTACATATGTATAAATGTATATACCCTTTGGAAAATAAAGGCCATAATGATATCAAGACTCTTATTCAAATAAATGCAAGTAATATTTATGTGATCCCTTCAGACTGAAATTAAATTCATATGGAAATTGTCGCCCCGTCGCTTTTCCTCGCTTGAGAAACTTTGTGGGCTCGAAAAGTAGGTGTTTGTCTTGTCGGGGGACAAAGACTCAATTTATGTTCACTGTGCTATAAATATCTTTTATTCTATTAAAAATCTGACGTCGACTAGAAGTAGCAATGATCATCACGATTATCAATCACAAGATGTCCACTGCTGGACATAGACTCGGAAGCCCAATAACAATAGCCCAGTAACCGGGGCTCCGGCTCGGCGTGCAGGAGAAGGAACGGGGTGGTTTTTAGTCAGTAAGAGTCTGACACTCCCTCCCGCGTCACCCAGGTGGGAGCAGTCATTCGATGATTTTCCCACTTAAAAAAAAACCTCCCCAATATCCCCTATCCCTGAATCCCCAACTATCCTCAATTTCTAATCCCCAAAAGATTTTTTTTTCTTCTTCTCCTCTTATAATATCTTCTGATTCACTTCGTTGCGGAAACCAAGACAGTTACTCATGTCCCTGGGATGCGCCGGACTTCAGTGTTCTGGTGTTTTCATGGTTGTATCTACTGTAGATCCTGGCTTACAGGAGTTGCAGCGGTTTAGGGGGGCTGTAGCGGGATTGTCCCATTAAAAAAAAAAAACCAAAAGACCGGTAACGCACTTGTAACGCCTCTGCTGTTCCAGGTGTCCATGGGCGACGCCGATTGCTTACCCGGTGACCCGTCTGTTTACCGGCTTATCCGATAAAGAATAGACCTCTCCTAGTGCCTTCCAGATGTGTTGGTTGGTAGTGACCTGCATCTAGTGGCTCTCTATGACCGAATACAATACTTTTTTTTTATTTTACCATAAAATAAAATATTGATTATCCTGCACTCTACGGCTTTTTTTATTACTCCGGCATGTCGTTTGTGGTGATGATGACTCGACAAACTATACTGATATTACAAAGCAAAAAAGTTTGTTAGTTCGAAGCCCTAGTTCGTATTAAAACAATCAGTTGGATAATCTATTTATATGTGTTTAGAAAAAGAATGCCTCGTTGGCTGAGTGGTCGCCATGCGACTGCAGGGCAACCCGTCTCGAGTTGGATTCACGGGTCGGATAAAATATTATAAGGTTTTAAAAAAATGTAGTATATGGCAATAGGCTCACCCCCTATTACATTGGACTCATAACTTAAATATACACCTATATTATTATAGTGTACCCTTCACACCGACTAACTACACGAAAAACGTTTTTTCAATAAGAAGTGCACTTGATTTTAATAGACTGTCTAAGGAATTTGACATCGACTTATTCTGCACCAGTGTAGTATACTTGCGACATCAAATCGCACAAAACTTCTTCGATGGTTAACTTCTTTTTCTAATTACTCTTCTAACAATTAATATTTGTTAGTAATTAATTGTCTTCTGTACTCTTTTTTTTTTGTACATACCTTTTTGGTTTTTTTTCTTTTTATCTATATGTGGAGGCTTGTAATTGGCAATTTGTCAATATTATCAATACATAGTATAAAACAAAGTCGCTTTCGCTGTATGTCCGTATGTATGCTTAGATCTTTAAAACTACGCAACGGATTTTGATGCGGTTTTTTTTAATAGACAGAGTGATTCTTAAGGAAGGTTTGTATGTATAATACATGCATATTGCACCCGTGCGAAGCCGGGGCGGGTCGCTAGTACTCTTATAAAATCATTTTCTATGTATTAGTCTGTTAGCCTTCTTAAAATGTCGTGCGGTCCATGGCCCTCTACGGCGCCCCTGTTTGGGCGCCAAACCTGTTGCGGCGTCCCGCTCGGACGCTGCTCATGGCACAGAGGGTCATGGCGATCCGAATGATCCGCGGATACCGCACGATCTCTGGGGAGTCGGCGAACCTCCTTGCCGGATTACCGCCGTGGGATCTGGAGGCGAAGGTGCTCGCGCGCGTGTACAGCATGCGCGCGGAGGCACGTCGCCGGGGCGAAACCCCGCTGCCGCGCCAGATAGGTGCGTGGCGGGATGAGCTCCGGCGCGATCTCATGGCGGAATGGCAGCAACGACTGTCGCAACCGAGGGCTGGGCTCGCTGCCATCGCAGCGGTAAGTCCCCTCTTTGAGGAGTGGCTTGAGAGACGCTACGGCGTCCTCACCTACCGCCTGACGCAGGTCCTCACCGGACATGGAAGTTTCGGGAGGTACCTGTGTCTGATGGGGCGGGAGGAAACGCCCGGGTGTCATCACTGCGAGGACCGCCCTGAGGACACGGTGGAACACACGGTGGGAGAATGCCCTTCGTGGGCTGAGCACCGCCGTGTCCTCAGGGAAGTGATCGGCGATGGCGACCTCTCGCGTCCGGGCCTAGTGCAGGCCATGATGCGGAGCGAGGGGGATTGGGATGCCGTCTCCTCCTTTTGCGAAGCAGTCATGCTAGCTAAGGAGGAGGCGGGACGCGTGAGGCAGCGAAGCGCTGCCTCCTCGCAACCCAGCCATCGCGAAGGACACACCGGGCGTCGGGGATCGCGGGACGATCTCCGGCCACCGTAAGCGCGGGCCTGCGGACGGCGAGCATGGGTGGCTCCCCGTCCGACCAGAAACAGACCCGAGCGTACGGCGCGTCGCGTTCCGCGCGCGCCTCAAAGAGCCATCAGACCACCACAGATGGGGCCCAATAGGGCCGATGCCGATTCGGAGTCGCGGAGAACCTAACGGGTAACCGGGGCTCCGGCTCGACGTGCAGGAGAAGGAACGGGGTGGTTTTTAGTCAGTAAGAGTCTGACACTCCCTCCCGCCTCACCCAGGCGGGGGCAGTCATTCGATGATTTTCCCCCCTTAAAAAAAAAAAAAAAAAAAAGCCTTCTTAAAATAAATAAATAGTGAAAAGTGGGTGCTACATTGTACAGTTGCATTTAGTGCCTTATCATGCACCTCTGCCTACCCTTTTGAAGATAAAAGGCGTGATGTTATATAATGTAAAAAGATCATAAAACATCACACTTCGATCAATA